CTTGAGATGTGATAGTGACCTACCTTTCAGTTTGCAAGTGACCTGGTTTGGACAGCAAATCCAGCGGTTCCCCGGCCCTGGATGCCCATGCATGTGGCACGGGTCCCTTGTATTCCTCAGCTAATCTGAGAAAAACTGAGTGATTGTCGCTTCACTTTTGTTTGTCTTTCTTTCTGGTGCCCCATAAGGACACCGAGAAATGGATGATCTCACTGAGTACACAGATCATAGGAGAAAAGCCCCAGACAGTTAGTGGTCCCATGTGGGCCATCGTTTATCCCAGGGCAGTGTGAACACTCATGATGGTGTCTTGTGCTGTCTAGAGCAGTGATTTATGCAGCCAGCATTGCCTTGTGGGAGGAACCTGGGAGGGGTCCCGCGAGGAGGAGAGTCACTTCCCCCTCCTCTCTCCCTTCCCATCAGCCTCAGACCCGGCTGACTCTGGGAGAGGTTGCACTATCTCCTTTATACTTTCAAGGTGGTCTTAATGCAGGGTATTGGGGAGGAGGGAGGAAGCAGAGAGGAGAGAGATACAGATTCTTTTCGATCTTGCTCTTCTCCAAGTCAGTTGTCCACTTGTTAAAAAAAAAAAAGCACACACACACACACACACACACGTTTGGGGGGTTACTTTTGCATTTGTCTGATATTTACTGAAAGGTACAAAGTTTACTTCTCACACCCCTGGGAAGATATTTACTTATATTTATTACTTTAATTTGTTCATTTATTTGTTATTACCTTAAACATTCTATTCACTCCTCAATGCTAGGCCACTGGGTGGTGCTGAAAATTTCAAATAGAAAAGAAATTCAAGAAGGAATAGCATTAAAATGTAAAGTAATGCTTTCTTCCCTATAGCCAGCTATCTACCCAGCCATCCATCCATTCATCTATCTATCTTGGTGCTCATGAGACCTCTCTGAACTTGACAGTGGTTGAACTTGTTGGTGAACAGCTGATGCTCATTGGACCTGAGATCGTGACCTGAATTGATGTTGATGTTGGTTGAAATTCTACCCTATAACCTCCCTTGAGCTCACCATACACAACTCGGTTGAGTCATTTCATTATACGGATGCTCAGATGTTCCTAATGAGCTGGCTTATTTTCACTTTACAGCCCAAACAGAGAGATTAAAACAAAATGCATTTAGTTTTAAAATGTTTTAGTTGAGCTCAAATATTCAGATCATTGGAAAATACTTTATAAAATTCATAGAAGTTAGAACTTTGAACTCTTTTAGAATTATACTTATGAAGTTAGAAATGATTCCCCTACTATACGGGCATATATATTTAAATGCTAGAATTTTTAATGTTTTTTATTATAAAGAAATGATCATTGTTTGAGGAGATAGTGTTTACCCTAATTTGAACATTGCACAGTTTATTACATCTATCAAAATCTCACATAGTACCTCACATAAATATGCATAACTTTTATATATTTGTTAAAATTTTAAAAAACAGTGCTCCTAATTCAAATGTTATCCAGTTATACCAATTCATTTTAATCTTAGATAGAACTAGACTTCTGGAGTTGGGGTTTATCCAAAGCCTTATTACAAGTTTGGGGAGTTTTAGGAGAGCTTATTTTTGTCTTCCTTGCTTCTAGTTATATATTTTTCTCCCAGTGAATTACTTCAGATCTTCAGTGATTCCCCCGTGCCCATAGCAACCCTTATATATACTTCCAAAAAGCTGCTTCCTCTAGACATTTGGGTGTGTTGCCCACTTTACTGAAGATTTGGGCGGGGAGAGAGGAATTTATATCGCAGATATGAAGCAAGTTCGAATTGGTTACTAGACACAGCTGTTCTTCCCAATTTTCCAAATTGCTGCTCCTGAACTTGAACCTCCCTCTTGTCAATTGATACCCATTTCTTCCTCCTTTTTCAGGCTTTTCTTTCTATTTTCTTTGCCCCCTCTCTTTCAGAGTATGAAATCAGCCTTTCCCCATTTTACTGTATATATTTTTTTTAAAAAAATCTTGTTTTTAATGCAGAGCATTAAAGTTCTAACACCCAGTTCCAACAGCCCAGTGAAGCCTGGGATCTCCACTTGCAGCTTCAAGAGGGTAGTCTAATCAGAAATGATGCTTTGAAAATCCTTTTGACCTAAACTCTCAGACAATGGCCACCTTCCTCTGTCTTCTCCAGTTGGAGGTGAGGATGGAAGTGGGAGAAGCAGAGTGTGTTCTGGGTACCATATGTAGAAGAAAGGGCAAAACTCTCTGCTTTGAGCTAATGGGATTTGAATCATGGCTGCTTTACTTCCTGGCTGTGTGACCTAGGACAAATTAGTTAACTTTTCTGTGCCTGTTTCTTCTTTCTAAAGTGAGAATTATACTACTGTCTTGCAAGTTTTGGAAAAGAATGAGATGGAACGATGTCTCTAACGCACCTGGCTAAATGCAGGCACTTAAAAATGTTAGTTTCCTTTTCCTTTTAAGGGAGAAACACTTTCCTTAAGGGTTACCTATTCGAACATTAAATATTTATAAATTGCATAATTCAAGAAAAACAAAACTCGAAAAGACATCTTTAGATTTTTGATGAAAAATAATCATCTCATTTGCCTTTTGTGCAAGTCTGTATTTTTAATGTGCTGGACTGGGTCTGCTTATGGTGTTGATGTGTGATTCTCAGCACTGTGACACTTGCAGCCTTCTGGGTGATGGAAATATTGGGTTTCGATGTGTGATTTGAGACAACCGGAGTGACTGATGAGGCCTGTAACTGTCCCTGAGGTATTGTTTTGAAGTGGGCCCATTGGGAGCTGTATGGATAATGAGGAGATAAACACCAGGCTGAGGCTTTGTGGCTTGGTCTGATGGCCCTCACACAGCACAGTGAAGAATGGATATCTTACCAGTGGAAAGGACTCACCGTATGCTTCTTCTCAAAAGTTGAGTAGAATATAGGTCTGAATGAGTAAGTGGTCCTGATTGATATTCTTGTCAATTAGGCTGATTTAAACTCTCGGCAGTTTGTATACTTCTTTTGGATTTTAAATTCTGGGGTGCCAGGGCTTGTGTTAGAAACAGTGGTGGCTACATTATTCATAATATTTCATGTTCTTAGGGGCAAGAAAGAATAGTCCAAAGGCTTACACAAGAGATCCCCCCCCCACCTGTCATCCAGTTGATTGACTGCCAAATCTAGCCTGTCACTTGTTTTTTGTACCTGTAGCTTGCTTTGCTAAAGAATGATTTTTGAATATTTAAAGGGTGATGAAAAAAGAAAAATACATGACAGAGATTATATATAGCTTTCCAAAGCTAAAATATCTGCCCTCTGGCCCTTTATAGAAAAGGTTGCTTTTCCCTGGTCTGGAGAGTGTGAAATGGTTCATGCAATATCATTATTGAAGGCAAAATGTAATGGTATGGATTTTTCAGTTGTAATCTGGTTTGTGACAGCCACCGTGTGTGTGCCTGTTTAAACAAAGCTTAGTGGATATTGCTGATAACCACATTTCAATATTTGTATCTTGCCCTCTCTGCGTAGGGTTATCCCAGCTTTGCCCTGGGCTCTGAGTCTCTATTGTTGTTCTAGAAAGTAGCTTAAATGTCTGCCACCTCCTCTCTACCTGCCCCTCTCACACAGCTAACCCATGCAGACAGCCTGGACTTGAACTAGGAATGACAGCACTTCCTTCCTCCCTGCTGGCCTGAAGGGGCGTGGCAGGGCCAGCTCCAGAAGGGCTGGAGAGGAGTTTTTCATCTTATACTGCTCCTGCTGGATCTGGGGGAGGGCTTTTAGGCGTATATGTCATTGGTGTAGAAACGTTAGCCCTGGGAAGGGGGCAGTTGTGAGCCTGTAATCTTTCTCAGCAGTGGGACCTGCGTTAGACCCTGAAAAAATGGGCAGAGTTTGCATAAGTGAAGGAACAGAGGAACAAGGGAACATGTCAAGAGGTGTCCTGACTGGGGTGGAGACTTAATATGGTGAGAGATGAGAATGGGCCATCATTAGGACCAATTTAGTGACATTTTTAAGATATGGAATTCCAAATCCAGTAGCTAACATTGGAATTTATTTTAGAAAAGAACAAAGTGTATGTGTGTGTGTGTGTGTGTGTGTGTGTGTGTGAGTGTGTGTGTGTGAGAGAGAGAGAGAGAGAGAGAGAGAGAGAGAGGAAATGTACATACTATAGCCATGTTCCGCATGTTTCAGTCAACCATGGGCCACATAGATGATGGTGGCCGCATTGGCTTACAAAACCCAGTGACACTGTAACAATTTCAGCTTATGTAAGTACACTCTATGATGTTCATGCAATGACAAAATCACCTAACAATGTATTTCTCAGAACTGTCCCTGTCATTAAACAGCGCAGCTGTCTTTGTTAAACCTTAACAAACAGACATTGGGCTAAGGATATTGATCATATGGGCCATCTATCTCACTTAATCCTCTCAACAATTTTTGGAGGAAGATCTCCTCCCTGGTTTAACAGACTTAGAGTGGTTGAATTCACTTGCTCAAGGTTGCAAAGTTAATATGACCTGACCTGAGAGCCTAAGTACTTAACTCCTGTGCTATTGAAACTAATTCAGTATGAAACATTCTAACAAGACAGGAAAAGGGGACAGAGGGAAGGGAGAGAGAGAGAGAGAGAGAGAGAGAGAGAGAGAGAGAGAGGCGATTGAAATCCTGCCTTTCAGAAATGACCAGAGTGAACATTCTAGAGCATTCTATGTGTATGCACGACAATATGTAGATGTTTTGCATAACTCAGCCCGTTGTGTGTCTGAACATTTAATATAAATGGCACCATGCTCTATATCCTAGTTTCCCCCTCCATTTAAAACTCATTTTCTAATTTTCACAAACGGATGCATGATATTTTGCTTTATGACGCGGTACCCTCATTCACTTAACCAGTATCGCTACATCACTGCGGATTCTTAAGCAGGGGAGCAATTTATTGGAAGATTGAAAACAAAACAAAACATTTTCAACTGAGTCTCATGCTTTTCCCCTTCCTTTGCAGCACGCCCTTGATGCTGACAATGCGGGAGTCAGTCCCATAGGAAACTCCTCCAACAGCAACAGTCACTGGGACCTGGGAAGTGCCTTTTTCTTTGCTGGAACCGTCATCACCACCATAGGTATCCGTTCATTTGCTACTGTCCTTCTCTCTGTGGGCTGTCCCTAGTGATGGCTGGTCAGCATTCTGTCCTGAGTACAGGTACAGGGTACAAGTAGTTCCAGGCTGAAAAGAGGCTCATGACACACTACCAAATGAAGAGTCACTGTGGTGGCTTTCAATAAAAAGCAAAGTGGAATAAGAATCTCCTTTCAGAATGAAAGGCTAGGGAGTTTCAGTTTGAAAGCACCCCAGGAAAAGGCTAGTGTGGAAAATATGAGTTAGTTGAACTCAGTCTGCTCTGATGAGCTCAAATTTCTTTTTAATGATCATACTTCTTACTAAAGTTCTATATGGTAGAACCAAAATGCTCTACAGAGTTTGTTTTGAAAAACAACACTCCCAGTTCCTGTCCCATTTTTCTTTTCACCTTCCAAGAGACAACTACTTTCGTGTCTTTCTGATGATGTCAGTGTTCATCTCCTTGAATTTAAATACTACATTTGTATTGAGACCTCTGGAATTTGGGGCTTAGCAGTTATTTCTGGACTTCCCATCGTGGAAGAGGAGGAGAAGGAGTTAGTTCACTTTCTTCCTTTCCACATGGCTGCAGAAGGGCTTTCTTCCTGTCTTCCTGATACAGTTTGATTAGAGTTGAACCTTTGCCTTGGGTTGACTAGGTAAATGCTTTTTGCAACTAGTCCCGTGGTGAACTATGATCCCTCCTCCTCCTCTTCCTCGTCCTTCTTTTTATTTTCAGTTCCGGGAATTGAAATCAGGGATACACTACTGCTGAGCTGTATCCCCCACCTTTTTCTTTTTTAAATTTGAGTTGCCAAGACTGGCCTTGAACTTGTGATCCTCTTTTGTCTCAGTCTCTGGAGTTGCTTGGATTACAGGTGTGCACCACCACACCTGGCTATGATGACTTCTTTCCTGCACCAATTTTTGTCTTATTTTATTTGTGTGTGTGAGTGGGTGTATGTGTTTTGACACTTGAGGAGTTTTGTTCTTTGGTCTTAGGAGCTAGCTTTATAACAGTATACAGTCATCACAGTGTTCGATTCATGAGCTAGGACAGGTCAGATCCCTGTTATAGGAGATGGCACCTTTTCCTCCACCCCTTTCCCACGACATGATGTTAATCAACACCACCTATTAAATGTTTGCTATCCAATGATTAGATATGCTTATGCTTCCATTATGTGATTTGCCTCTTTAAGGGATAACTCTCGGCTCTCTGCTCTTCCATATTATGCAGTTAAGGGAACTTACTCAGCATCTCAAGTCCCTTTTCCACCTGAACCAACTGCCACGTCACTCAACATACAACAGTTTACACTCTGTTTTGTTACCCTGATGCTCCCATTAGCTTTAGATGAAGTTTTATATTTTCACTACTACCCTTTCTGTTCCTGTGTGTGTGTGTGTGTGTGTGTTTATAATGCCTACTCTGTCACGTGCACCTACTAAATTTATTTTTCTTTCTGGGAGCATCAGGGGTTATATTTCCCTTCCTAATTTGTTCCTGAGTTTCTTAGGTCACATTCAATCTTCTCTTGTCATCTCCCACCCCTTCCCTGATTTCTTGTTTAACAAGGTCAGTGTTCCTCTCTAGCCCAGCGGCCCTCGCTCTGTGCAGCATCACTTGCTTGGCTGACAGTCATTCTAAGGAGCTGCCTCATGAATGGCTCAGGGTGCAGTATTCCCTGGGATCTTGCAGTGCTTAGGGTGGCAGGCTTACCCTTCACAGACAGCTGGGGGAGATGACTGGCTGACTCACCTTTTCATTTACACTGGTCTTGTGGGTGTCCCTGTGCTGTCTTTTTTTTTTTTTTTTTTTTTTTGCCCCTTTCAGTGTTTTATTCACTCAAATTACTCAATTACTCAATACAGTTTCACTCTACAGGTTCTTAATCAAAAAAAAAATGACAATCCTTAATGCTAGGCACTGCAATAGACATAATTAATTCACAGCAAACAATTCTAGATGAATTCTAAACACTGAAAAACACACTTAATCATGACAGTCTAATGACAGACATTCCCTCTGCAGGCTAAGTTCCAAAGTCTTAAGCCTTAGGCTTTATGTCCAGCAGATGCACCCTCACTCAGACCTTGGTGACCAGGTCCAGAACCAAGGCAGCTTTTCCTGGTGTGGAGTGGATGACCATTGAGGGTCGTAGGGAGAAGTTGCGGCTCTCACCAAGGCCCAGATGAGGTGGTAGAGTTTGAGAGCGTTGAGGATCATGCAGAGGCTCAGGAAATGATGACAAGTGAYGGGATGTCAGGTCCTCATCAGGCTCTCCAGCTAGAGTGCATCCTTGTTTCGGCTGGCTGAATCCCTGTTCATTTGCTCTATTATTTATACTAAATTTGGGGGCTTTTTGACTCCCCTTTCAATCCTTATCAGCTACCACCAGATATCTCAGTGATATCATTTACCCTGGGGTCAGAAACATCTGGTCTGATGGTCTCCACCCTGATCTTCTCACCTTTCCCTCTTATCAGGGGAGGACAGCCTGCCAGGGGCTTCACTCTATTTGAGTGAKGGGAAGTAACTTGTTTGAGGTTGTACTGGAGAGCTGTGTGGTTGTGCCTGGTGAAACTGCAGGTTTCAAACTGGAGTTTTTAAAATGGAGTTGCTTAGGCTCAGGACTAAGGCCATCCTAACACTTTGGCTTGACTATCACAATTTCACTTCAGTAACTTAGATTACTCAATCAACATTACTATGAATCTCTCTCTTGCTTAGTACTATAACAGTGCTTAAAATCTCTAAAAGTGTTTACATTCCTGAATGTTTAAAATGCTTTTTAGTATATTTTACAGAGCATTAAGAGTGAATATTTAGTAAACTTGAACTGTTTCATCTGTGCATATGAAAATAGGTAGTAATCTTCCTGTGGTCCCATGAAGCAAGCAGTCACTAAGGCAAAGGAGTTCATCCACATAGCTAGAATCCTCATTCTCTGTTTCTCCTTTGCCCCGTAAGGACCATTCCTCTACCAGCTCCAGAGACCTCTTTCGGGTTTTATCTACCCGCCCTCACCTCCCACCAGTGGCTCTCCCAGAGACTCCAACCCTGCACCTTTCACTCTGGGTTGAAAATGCTTTAGATTTCCACCTGAACAACAGCCTCTAGGGAGTACAGTCTTTTCCAGACACGGTGAGAATGGTGCCCGGAGTAATTCCCACACAATTTCATTTGTATAGTAAAAATGACAAGTCAGTCCTGAGAAACTGTGTCTCCATCCATTTAAAAATATTGAGCAGTTTGTACATTGCATTTAATTCTTTCATTCCTGAAAAGTTTTATGTAGTGTCTGTATCCAGGGCATGATATCCAAAAGAGGTGAATCTATCATAATCTTATGTTTCTGTCTACTTAAATCACAGTATTTACAATGATACTTGCATGTCATAAAGATTTATATCAATACCTAAGATTAAATTAATTTAAAATATATTTTAATTAATATTAAAACTATATAAA